TACGACGACGACGACGACGACGACTACGACGGCGACTACGACGACTACGGCGACGACGACGACGACTACGACGACGACGACGACGATGATGATGCTGAGGTCCTCAATACAAGCCGCACAGACATTTAATTCAGTTCAGCACCGCGGTATTTCGCGCCTCGTGATGTTCCATTAAAACCCGAGACAATAACCTGACAGCTCTGATCGGCACGTCTCCGCCGGTTCCCGTGTACACCAATCTCCACTCTTGTTTAAAACGAAGCCAAAGCTGTCTACCGAGAAACTGGCTTCCGGCTTCCACGCTGCTTCATCCACGGATATGATTCTCTTTCTCTGTATTCCTTCCGTCCTCCTCTACTTATCAGTCTTTCTCTCTCTCTCTCTCTTTCTTTCTCTCGCTATATGTCGCCCACGTACTGTTCTCGCTTCTTGTTCGATTCACGCCACTGCTCGCTTGACCCTGTTAGAAATTTGTAAAAATCTCGGACCACGTGCGGCCCATTTACGGTTAAAAACCGTGATTAACTTTTGGTAAGATTAATCGAGGATAGTGTGGCGAAAAGGTTTGCGAGAAAAATATAGAAATCGTGCAATAGACAAGCTGCAGTTGATTTTTGGTCGAATTCTGAAATTAACAGAAATATGAAAAGTAATATAAAAGTTCCCTTTCCTTCTTTTCCTTTTCTTATTCCCTTCTTTCTCTTTCTTCTTGTCTATGGACCGGGATTGGTCGGAACCATTTCCTCTTTACTTCCATGCGTCGTTTCCTTCTTTCCTTTTCCTTCGCTTTCTTCCTTCGCTTTCGTTATTCCCCTCCTCGTTTCTCCTTCGAAATATACGAGGAGTTCCTCTCATTCAGAGAAATACAAGCGATACTCATTCCCTAACGGCGAGCATAGAAAGATACAGTATATCATGTAATAATAGCTAGTCTTCGTCGACAAGATTTACGACGTGTCAGTTTAAAATATATCTGTCAGATCAATCGCTACCACTGCAGAGTTAATAAAGTCCGAGTAATCGTTTCTTTTAGTACCGCGTCGACATGTTTGGCTTCTATCTTGGTTTATCGATTAAAGAAAATAATTACGTAGTTGCACGAGTCAATTAGTACACTCGTCGTTACTAAAATATGATTATTCCATCCACTTCGTTATCCGAGATATCCTTTAACCAATAACGTCAGTGTCAATCCTCGTTATTGTTTTATTTCGCTTCCTATGAAAATGCGTAATTTCGAAGACACAGCGGTTGTGTCGATATCGCCTTAAGACAAGTAGCTGCAAATGTGTCGAGCTTGCATACCTTATTTTGTTTTTTTTTTTTTTTAGATATACATACATATATGCAATAGTGATATGAATATGTATTCCCAGCAACCGACTATTTCTTTGTACGAATAAGCTATCAACCAGATCGGTCTATGTATCGTTCGATACGATACCTCGGGCCAAAGTTGTTGGCACCGATACATGTGGGTCACGAGCATGAATGCCGTTTCGCTGGCTTCGAGTTCTTTCGCTTCGTCCGATTGTCGCGACTCGAGCAAGTTCTCCGCAGCGGCAGTCAGGCACCGAGGCACCGAGACAGCTTTTCTCAGCGAAATAATTTCCCGGAAAATTAACGTCTCCAGGCTCGTGCACGCGTAACGCGCGTACACGCGTGTATACACGTATTCCCGCGGCCGGCACGCATGAAGAGAAACCGGTAGATAAGTAGGGGGTGAGCTAGATCGCGGTGAGCGGTACTGGTGCAGCCGCTCCGCCGCTAGAACAGCAAGGAAAAAAAAACGTTCGAGGGAAGAAGAAGGGTGGCGGAAGAAGACCAGACGAGAAACCGTGCGCAAACGTGTGTATGGAAGCGCAAAGAAACAGGACGCGGACGGAAGCTAACGGAGGAACCAAGTCAGGAAGCAGAGACCTAGTGGCAAATGTCGGAACTGACTGTAAAGTAAGGGGGACGAAGAATCGAGGTGTAACAGGAGGATGGGTGTTCTCGAGTCTTTGAAACTTCAGCTTTCGATCTCTCAACGAAAAAAGAAAAATGGAGGATTAATATCGCTCTCGTTAGATCGTGTCGATACGGAAAATTAGAATCGTCTTGCGTTCCTCGTGTTTGACGGTAGATGAAAGGTAAGATCGAGAGATAAGAAGGGCAAAGTCGGAGGGAAGGTCGCGACAAACAAGCTTAAACAGGCACGTGAACCGAGTTAGAGGAAGAGAAAGAACGAAAAAAAAAAAAAGGTAGAAACGAAGAGACAACGGGGGCCAGAGAGTCACAGAGCGTTATAAGATCGATAGTTGATGTGATAGCGAGCCAAGCCAGGCCAAGTCGAGCCAAGCCAAGCCAAACCAAGCCAAGTCAAGCCGACCCAACCCAACCCGACACAAGCCAACGACGAGCCGACCCAACCGAACCCAATCCGACCCTCGGTTCGTTCACCCCCGCGGCACATTCGCGCCATTATCTGTTCCAAATGTCGTCAACGGCATCGTTTCGTTTACGGTGCGGCACATCCACCTTCTCTTCGCCGGAGCACACCGACTCAGCCCACGTTCGCTCACC